CTTGTAAAACTATCTAAAAATATCTACCAATAATACTATCTTAATTATTATCTAATAAAATATAATTAAATAATTATTCAATAAAAATACGAGTATAAAATAACTAATATTAATAAAATATATATAAAAATCTATATTATAACAATATTATTTTGAGAGTAGAAGATCTTTATTATAAATAAGCTATACTTTTTGTTTTATTATTTTGAAAATAGAAAACCTCTATTATAAATAAGTCATACTCTTTTATTTAGTTATTTAGTTTATATATTTTAGTTTTTATCTTTCTTTAATCATAATCTTTGATTAATAATAATTTTATTATTCAATTATTTTAAATCTTGAATTATATTGATTATTAGTGACTTTACTAAGCTAATCTTTATAATTTCTTTGATTTATTTATTTCTTTTATTATTTATTTAATTTCTTTTAAAAGATAATATTTGTAGATATTGACACATATCTTAGAAATCTTTATTATTATTGAAAGTATAATCTAATTTTTCTCTCTTTATCTTTAATTATTTCAATCTCTTTCAATCTTATATTATTAAGATGAATTTAAGTGAAAACTTATTTATCAATTTATCATAACAATATAATTGAATAGAATTAGTTATCTTAATTTATATTTCTAGAGAATAATTAATTATAATTCAATAAGTTAATAATAATTATAAATATAATAAATAATAAGATAAATAAATAATAAGAATAAATAAAAATATAAAGAAAATATTAATTATAATCTAAGTAAAAATATAGTAAACTCTTTCTAATATTTATTCTATTAATATTTACTTCTCTATATTAGTAATAGTAGCTATAGAATAGATTTTTCCATATATAAATTTCTTTATATATATCAATTAGAAATATTATATTCTGTTAATATTTTTATTAATATATATTAAATTTTATTTTTAATTAAATATATCTTACTAATATTAATATTAATATAAATTAATATTTTAAAATTTAAAATTCTGATCTATAATATTATATATTTACTATATAATATCTCTTTATAATATAATTTATATTATATTATATATATTAAAATATAAATATATTACTAAAAGTGAAAAATAAGAAGAAAGAATTAAATATAAAAATAAAAGTTTACATATTTTTTATATATAATAAATAAATTACTATCTATTAGAATCTGAATTACTCAAATATTATACTATATAAAATTTATATATTATTTTAAAAATTTATATTAAATAAGATAATAATTATAAATAAGAAATCAGAATATTCATAAAAGAAATAAATATATTTAACTATAAAGTTAAAACAAGAAATATGCTAATAAAAGTAAATTAATATATTTCTAAATATTACTAAATTAGCAAAAAATATAATTATAATAAAAGTATAGTTATAAAGATTTTGAAAGTAAAGAATAAGTAATTATTAAAAAAATTTATAAGTTACAAAATAAAAATAAAAACTAATAGATTAGTAAAGTTTATAAACTTGAAAGTTACTTTAAGTATCTAAATATGTTGAATTTTTTTTAAAATATTATATTAACTAATAGACTTTTATAATTATAACTTCTAAATATTTCAGAGAATAATATTATTATAGTAATATAAATTTCTTTAGTTTTATAATTTTTCAAACTTTGAATTTTTGATTAATCAGTTAATCTTTAGAAAATATGTAATTTTAAATGATTTAATTAGTATATTAATTATGAATTCAGTTATAATTCAGTAATATTTCTGTAATATTTTAATAATACTTTAAGATCATAAGTATATATTTAACTCAAAAGTTAATAATAGTTATAAATAATTTATTAATAGTTCAGAAATACTTCAGAAATAATTTAGAAATAAATCTCATTTATTTTTTTTATTATTTTTTCTTTTTAAAATATTTATCTTATCTTTTCATTTTATTTTATCATTTATATTATCTTTTAACTTATCATATATATCTTATCTCATTATTTTATTAGTTTATTTATAATTCTTTTACTTCAAGACTTGTGATTATATACTAGAATAGCAAAATAAGTTATGAGTAAAGTTTAGATAAAATCTATAAGATCTTAAAGATGTATAAATATCTCTGTTTTTAAACATAAAATAAATATACTTGAATAGTAATAATTCAATTATCTTTAAAAAATACTTGAGTTATACTTATTTTGTAATTTTTTCTATAACTTTTATCTTGATATTTTACTTTTAATTATCTTTTCTATTATAATAGATTATATTCTAGTTAATCATATATTTTTCTTGTCTGAAAAATATAGATAGTAAATGCTCTTTACTTAAAATAAGCTAAGTATATTTTATTTAATTTATGGAGATTCTTGTAAGTTTTCTTATATATAAAAGCTTTGATTTATTTTAATATATACTCTTTATTTATCTAATAATTAAAAAAAATACTGTTAAGAGTTTAGTTAGTATACTAAATCTTTTATTTTAGTTATAATTATTATTTAGTTTTAGATATCTATTCTTAGTTTAGTTTTCATGATCACAACTTCTTTTTTATTTTATTTTATTTTTGCCTTATATTAATATAATACTTATAAGTATTAGTGCTAGAAAATCTTTAGAATAATTATAATTCCCTTTATCTTTATAAATAATTCAATCTTAATTCTCAAAACTTATTATAGATTATATTTCTGGTAAAATCTACCTTCATGAATATAGTTTGTAATATTTAATACTCTCTCTGTGAAATTCAAATCTCCAGAAATCTCTTTAAACTTATTTTTATTATTTTAAGAATTAGCTATCCTTGAAATATTTATTATCTAAAATATTAATTAGTTTATAAGTATATACTACTCTTTTATTAGACTTCTAATTGACCTATATTTTAATAAATATAATTAAAAAAATTCTTGACAATATCTATTTCATATCAAACTATATAATTACTATTCTTATTATTATTTTACTAATCAAAATTCAGATAAAAAATTTATAAATTTTCTTATCTGAACTCAAGACTATTACATAGTCTCTTATAATAGACTATTACAAGAACTTTTTAATAATATAATAAAATAAAATCACATGCCTAATCAACTTTGAAGAGAAATTATCTAGTTACTTAACACTTTTGTATTTGATATAAAAATTACAGTTAAATAATGAACTTATCTAGTTAATAATATTCTTTTAGTTCTTGAAGAAACAGATAATTTTAAAACTTCCTCAACTAATCAGCCAACTGAATCAAAATACAAAAGTAATGATTCTGAAGATTCTGAAAAATTAATAATTATCATCAAAGAAATTCAATATCAAAACTCTCAATTAAAAGAAGAATCAATCATGGCAAAAGGAATAAAAAATCTAATTCAAGCTTTTGCAAAGCTAATTCAATTCATAAAGATTCAGCAAACAGAAAAGATCCTTATCCCAATTCATAAATTTAGAAATAATAATCAGGATCCTATTGAATAGGGTTCTAATGTCTCCTGTGCAAATCTTTCATGGAGATCGAATAATTCGGGGGCAAAGGTAATGTTCAAAATTTAATTTTTAATAAGGTAAGACTTGTCATTTCAATTATAAAGAGACTTACGTAAATAATAAATTATTTAACTATTCTAAGGCAATAACAAGTATTCACAAATAAGACAATAAAATCATAACTCGAAAGTGCCAGTTAATAACGTTAATGATATCAATGTCCAAGGGATGCAAAGTAATGCAGCGACCTTGTATGGCCAAAGCAGGAAAGCCTTCAATTTGTTAAGCACAAATAGAATTAAAACTATCGAATTCGTTGTGGCACAAAAGAAAAAAAGCCGAAGCGAATTAGGTAAGTTTCAAAATTAAATTTAATATTTATTTTCTTCAAACCAATTTTGCCTATCTCGCAACTCTTCAAGAGCCATCCTATTTATACAGCTTTCGTTATTTCACAACTGTTCTCAGTTATAGCTACCTCCGTTGCTTACAAATTTTTATGATTCATTAGGACATAGAATACAAGAAGAAAAATGTATATATAATATTATAATGTAAACTAAGATAAAATATTATCAAAGTACAAATAAAAAAATAAAAGTATTATAAGGGGAGGAAGGATCTCAAAAATCTCACCTTCCACATGATCAAAATAATTAGCCAATCAGATAAAATTCTTGTTTGCTATATTATCTTAACAGCACTTTTTTTAACCATGAAGGTATTGACGAGTGGATTTATATTATTCTTTATGATATACATGTAAAAATTTCAAACCATTTTATTGAATTTACAGTAAATTAGGAGGGTACATTATTTATGACCGTAATAGTAACGATAAAACTGACTGCACAAATACATGTAGAACATTTTAATATAAATGTATATGTAAAATACTGTATCGTTATTTATTTTTATAGAATTGGCAAAAACTCGTTTTATTGTTATTATAGAACAACTACCTACACTTTATTCACATGGCTTTGAATGCTAATAAAAATTTAATTAGCGCAAATAACAGTATTAGTATGATTCAGATACGTTTAAAGAAATTTGCACAGGATAGAAATCTGTATTCAACCAATTAGAGAAAAAAAAACGTTCGAAAGATTAATGAAAACGAGTAAATTTCAAGTTTATTGTTATTATTATGCAGAAACACCCATCGATTGGCAGCATCACGCGGCCTGTTAAGCCACTCCAAAATTATGAATTGGCTGAAACATCCCAAAATGATGGTGGTGGCGAGGCGGGAAAATATATGTAGTTGGCGATTATCGCATAGCTTTTAACGACTTATCCTTTGTCTATCCAAAATAATAATGCCTTCTATCGAAGTGAAAACTAACGTCAAGGTGAAAACAAATGAATAAAAAGATATAGAATAGCTCCTATACTCACATTTTATACACGTCAATAGGTTCAAAATCATACAGAATTTCTTAAAGAAATATCAATTCTTGCTGCCACACTCTTCCGCATCCTGTTGAAGGAATGAATGTCGCACTAAAGACGGTCTTTCTCTTCTCTTTGCTAACTCGGATGCGCCTGCCTATATTGTTCATATTAATTGTCTTGGAGGTTTTGGCGATAACATGAAAAACCGTAAAATTTCAAAAGCATTCGCTAATTTTCTTACAGAAAAAACAAGGGCGCCGAGTAATCGAGGATATTTATTTTTCAACGATCCGGGCTACGCGAATGTGGCACTACCACAGAAGAAGTTTTGTTGAACAAATGAAATTCTTTTTCATGAATTAAAATAAGAAGTTTGGATATTGTTCAAAAATATATAAAATGCATGTCGCATGAATATGAATATTATTTACATCTTTTTCATGTAATTAAAATTAAAAATAATAAGTTAAACTTATAGCCACGGTGTAATTGTATTAGAAAACCTAATAATTCTACAATTTACATCGTTTCTATTGCGCTCGGTCATATTTTGTTCCTCAAAATCTCTGCTCTGCATTCCCATCATAAAATTCTTCGACATATAAAATGTAACAGCAAACGCTGCTATTAAAACAACTTCTTTAATTTAGGAAAACCGTAGTTGCAACTAGTTTGATCATGTGTCTGATGTTCGACTCCCTGGTATAAATCTTTCGATACCGATACGTAATGCACGTAGTACGAGAAATTCAAGAGCTTGATAAATAATTTATTGGTTCACTTCATTTGCATAACGAAAATTTAAAAAAAAACTTTTATGCTATGAAAAAAAAGAGCCTGCTTTGATGAAAATTCATACGAGACCCTTTATTAAAATGAACTATATGTTTTCAATATTTATTTACATTTTAAATAGGAACTCTTAAATTTGCTATAAAATTAAACAAACTTTTCATAACATTTGAAAAAATGAATTTCTAATATCTATATCTCTTTCAGGTCTGAACTGTGATCTCATAACACAATTTGCATAGATGAAGAGGAAATTTTACGTTATTAATTACCACACTACAACTTATCGGCATCTTTGATTTATGTGTATGTGAATATTTTTAACATTAACATTAAGAGTTGAATTTTAAATTTCTCATAAATTCTTATATTTGCTGCATACTTTAGTAGTATTGATAATCAAGTCACAGAAGTTTTTTGCACTTTTAATTTTTAAGTCTATTGCAAAGGACTGTTGACAAAACTGGCATCTGATGATCTTTATACATGTACAAGTAGTAGCATTAATCACATATTGTACATGTATTATCGATAAGAACCAACAAAACAATAATAAAATTATAAAGTATACGAAAAAACCAACGTTCAAATTAGAACTTGGATTTGGCACCAACAATATTTTTTTTATATAATATTACAAAAATAGAATTTCATTGACGACTTATTCTTTTCCGATCGCACACTTGGTACATGTTTGACCATTTCGTAAGAATAAATTAGTTTTCGGTATAATTTTAGCCCATTGTTCCAAAAATGAGCGCAAAATCAAATTTATATATGCGTGCTCTTGAGCCTTAGACAAGTCAAATTAGTCAAATTATAGTAAAGTTCAAGTAATTGAAACAGCATTACCTTTTCATATTTCCACGAGTAACTGCTTGGCGGTCCCGTTTCCAATATCTTCGACCGTTTCACCGGGTTAGCTGCTCTTTCGACGGAAAATAAAACACCGATACTAGGGAGAGCGAATCCTGGAGATCTAATTAAAGCATATATTAGATAGATTAAACAATAATTTACTATATTACCAAATTATAGTTAATTTGGATAAACTCACTTTCCCGATTCTCCTCTAAATACATCTGTATAAATCTGGTATGTATCTGTTCAATCTGAATTCACCATTCTGTTTGCTGTTGTGGTGTTACACATGTTAAGTAGCTAGCTGCATGTAATTGGTTATTTGAGATATGGAGGTTGAAAAACACACGTATCCGCTTTACCCGACCTTCATCAACAAATTCTATTGGTTTAGCGCACGAATATGAACACTTGAATTTATTTCACCACCCAGGCGAGATGCTCCGGGCATTCTCCTATGTTGAAAAACTCATTGAGAAGTTGACATCACCAAGTTTTTCATCGGATATAAAGAATTGAAATCACAAATCAAAAGAGCATTAGATATAGTATAATCAGGACCGCTTATAAATATAATAGTTTTTCGGGATAAACGATAATACTTTTGAAGCATTCATCCAAGTTATAATAAGATTATAATTAGGATTTCATTTTAATGGAAAATGGCAATAGAAATAATAGAAGTGTCAGAAAAGTAAGTTTTTTAAAAATTTGATAATCCAAACCTTTTTAACAAATATTCCGACGCCCATAAACCCAGATTCATGAAGTTCCGAACACGCAAAAATTACAAATCATAGCATTCTGAAGTGAAATCTTTAATGTTGCAAATGTTAGCAATTATAGATAATTAACAATTTATTAAAAATCAAAAGCCTCGGAGTAAGCATAAAAGGAAATTTAATATTAGAAATTATAAAGAGATTCAATATTCAATAAACATGCGTAATTTTCTTGGCATTCATACATAGTATCAAAATTCATGTGAGATGTAATAAGTCACAGTCTTTCGAATCATGGTATACAGCCACTACTATATCAAAATCTGCGGAAATAGGATCGTGTCCTGGTTTAAGCTTGTACAGCCAATGAAAATAGATTAGAACCGGCACACCCGTTAACTTGATCAAAGCCCCGAAAAGAAGGACGGAGAGAATTTGTTTGGATCATCAGTCAAAGACCTATTCAAATTATTCGGGTCGCTTTCTGTATTTGTTGCGATTAACAAATTCATTATAGCTGGTTGGTCTGGCTTCAATGGTTCATCGATTGGCATATTTCTCTACTTTCCTCATTGGTCACGGATGCTCCTAGCGTTCCTTAAAAAAAATAAGCAAATGTCATCATTACCAATAAAGTTAAAACTTCCCGGAGTCGAGACAGAGAAGCTTCTTCTCATGTATCCTATTCACCACCTCCATGAGATAGACAGTAGAAGGAGGTTACTCGACCCACAACCTCACAGTGGCCACGATGAGCTTCCAGTTCTCTGCTATCTTCATACTTCTGATGGCAGCGTAACTTCAGATACATATGGTTAGACAAATAACTTAATGAAACAAACATCTCACCCTATTCTGGACTAGCGAATATTTATGCCCTGCTGAAACTTTTGGAGCGGAAATCGTTTCCTTTAGTAATGGAGAAAGCGTTCCTACAAAATAACTGTAAAAAAAACAAGCAAATGTCATCATTACCAATAAGGTTAAAACCTCCCGGAGTCCAGTCGAACTCGGGCGTGCCACCGAGCCGAACAAGGGTAAGCACAATCATGATCACATTTTTGATGATTCCATTATTGAAGAAAGATACCTATTGTAAAGTCTAAAAAAATAAAAAAAAAGTTAATAATCAATCCTAGAGGCGTTACTGATACCAGAAGAGACCCCTGAGTAGGTTGCGCACAGTCAGAAACGTCATCATAATACGTAACGAATACATAAATATAGCGGCCCGCATTGAGTCAAGCTATACCCTCGGCAACTGACGGTCCAACCTCGTGTGGGCTTTTTTCCGGAATAAACTATT